ATGAGTTCAATTTTAGACATGAAAAATAAGGTTGCAAAGTTAGAAGACAGAAAACTAAAGACATGTACCATGCTTATTTTAGTGATCATGTTTTATATAATTTCGCAATAACCCTAGGCTAATGTGAAACCAGCCACCTAACGAGAATAAAAGCAGTCATGGGAAGAGGTGTGGGGCTTCTCTGAACCTCACTTGCTAAGGAATGATAGAGGAGAACAACAATCCTCATAGGAAATGGGTTTGAAGGAAGCTACTCCAGTTTTCTTCATCTATCCTTGAATGCCTATGACTATACCCTTCCATGGTAACATTAAACAATGTTGCTCTAGTGCTCATCTTCACAGAATTGAGGCCCTAGGGCACCCTTCAAATCTAATTTGGAGACCTTAGAAATCATCTAATCCAAACCCTTCTTTTTCCAAATTTTCTAAGAAACTGAGATTCAGAGAAGAAAAGGGACTCGTTTATTGTCTCATCAGTAGTAAGCATCAGAAACACAATTAGAACCTAAGTTTCTGATACAAGGTACTACTCCTTTTGTATGGGAGAAGTTTGGTTACTGAAAGTGGAAAAAAAAGGACCCATTGTGCATGAAAAAATGATAAAAATCTTCTACCACAAAATACAATTTTTCTATTAAACTATAAAGACAGACAGGAGGACTACATAAAAACTGAACAGCCATGTTTGAAGGCAGACATATGAAACTGAAGTTGCAAATACCTTATTGCAATTTTACCTTTGACCATCAATAGCTGAAAAGGCTTTTTTCCAGACCTGGCCTAGCATAGGAGAGGTCCAGAGTGCTGCTTCAGATAAGAGGAAGAGGAGATTTGATGACCACTGTAAAATATTATACTTTGTAGATTTATAACTTCTCCATAAAGGACTTGAAAAAGCACTCCTTCCTTTAAAGTGCTGCACTACATCCTTACAGTAACAGACCTCTAAGAAAAAGTTAGATGTTAAGAGCAAAAACTCACTGATTTAAGGTCAGGTAGCGAAGGTCTTTGTTAAGGTCATCAATGACTTTCATGTCTTCTGGAGTCAACTGGAACTCAAACACCTGCCAGGGAAGAGAGGATACTATAATAAATAGGATCTGCTTATAACACCTCAGAATGGAATAGGCAACTTAATTGATTGAATCAGTCACATTCTCCATGAGACTCTTGTAACTCTGTTCTGGTGTTGGAGGTGATTAGGCTAACTGAAAACTAGCTACTCCCACTTGATAGCTCCCATCTTCTTGTGGGTGGAGTCACCCTTTTCTAACTCCTCCTTTCAGAGTTGTAGACTTCCCCTTAATCTAGAAATTTGCATTTACCTGGTCATGAACTCCTTGGGGATTCAGGATATTGATCCAACAGGTTCATGTTTAAAAATGTTTAATTCTGCTTTATGTAGCAAAAAATTACCCAAAATTTGTTGCAAACATATTTTCCCTTGTGACAACAACCATATGTATATTCAAAGCAATATAGGTTTGTTTCTGAAAAAATTCAAAACCATCATACACACAATGATTTCTGTGTCTGTATGGCTGACACCAAACTGGCCACTTCTGACTTAGTGAAACATGTTCTTGAAGTTTCTCAACCTGTCATCAAATTGTTTCCAAACAGCTATGGTCACAAGAGTCCATATTTGGGTGCAAACAGATGTCCAATAGGTGGTCAGATGTATAACCATACTCTTATTTGCACTCTATACACCACATCAGAGAGCTCCTTCATTCCCCTTTGTTACCATATAATTCTATCACATCAGTGGTATAATCACATGATCAAGATGCTATGAATATTTGCATTCTTGCAGTGCAAATAAATGTCAGGCTGTTTGAAATCCATGAGCACTTATAAGCCATCTGGAAATTATCATGGACTATCACAAGCATTCAGAGGAAACAAACCTTATATTGCCTCTCATTGCAATATTAAGAAAATAGAAAAAGGTTTACAAAAATTCACTGAAGAAAACAACTCCTCAAAAAGTATTGGCCAGATGGAAAAGGAGGTACAAAATCTCACTGAAGAAAATAATTTCTTAAAAATGAGAATTGGGCAAGTGGAAGCTTAATGACTCCATGAAACATCAAGAGTCAATCAAACAAAATAGAAAGAATGAAAAAATAGAAGAAAATGTGAAATGTCTCATTGAACTGACCTGCAAAATAGATCCAAGGGAGACAATTGAAAATATTTGAAAGTATAATTAAAAAAAAAAAGCCTGGACATATTTCAAGAAAATATCAAGGAAAATTGTCCTGATATCCTAGAACCAGAAGGTAAAATAGAAATTGAAAGAATCCATCAAACACCTCCTGAAAGAGATCAACAAATGAAAACTCCCAGGAATATTATAGCCAAACTCTAGAACTCCCAGGTCAAGGAAATAATACTTCAAGAAGTCAGAAAGAAATAATTGGAATATTGTGGAGCCATAGTCAGGATTATACAGGATTTGGCAGTTTCTACATTAAAGGACTGAAGGGCTTGGAATATTATATTCCAGAGGGCAAAAGAGCTAGGATCACAACCAAGAATCACCTACCTATAAAAACTGAATATATAACCCCCAAGGGGAAAAATGTATATTTAATGAAATAGAGAGCTTTCAAGCATTCCTGATAAAAAGACAAGAGCTGAACAGAAAATGTGATTTTCAAATACAAGACTGAAGAGAAGCATAAAAAGGCAAACAGGAAAGAGGAAAAAACATGAGGGATTCAATAAGGTTAAACTGTTTACAAGGGAAGATGATACTTGTAATTCTTTTTTTTTCTTAGGCAATTGGGGTTAAGTGGCTTTCCCAGGGTCACACAGCTAGTAAGTGTCAAGTGTTTGGTCTGAGGCCAGATTTGAACTCAGTTCCTCCTGACTTCAGGGCCAGTTCTCTATCCACTGTGCCACCTAGCTGACCCTATACTTGTACTTCTTAAGAACTGTATCACTATTAGTCCAGTTAGAAGGAGTACACATAGAGGGAGGGTCAGGTATAAGTTGATTTTGATGAAATGACATAAAAAAAAATAAGGGATGGAAAAAAGGATTACACTGGGAGAAGAGGGAAGAGAGGTACAATGGGGTAAATAATCTCACATGAAAGAGGCTTTAAGAATGAATAATGTATACATTCTGTTGGATATAGGAATCTAGCTTACTGTATAGGGAAGTAGAAGGGGTAGAGAATAAAAGCAGCAAGGGGACTGATAAAAGGGAGAGCAAATTGAGAGAAATGGTGGTCAGAAGTAAAACAGTGGTGAGGAGGGACAGTGATAAGAATGAGAAGGATAAACAGAGGGAAAATAGGATGGAAGGAAATACACAGGAATCATAACTGCGAATGTAAATGGGATGTATTCACCCATAAAATGGAAGCAGACAGCAGAGAGGATTAAAAACCAGAATCCTACAATATGTTGTTGACAAGAAACACATTTGAAGCAGAGAGAGAGAAACAGAGAGCTAGAGAGAGGCAGAAACAGAGACAGAGAGACAGAGAGACACAGAGAGTAAAGGGAAGGAGCTGCAGAAGAATCCATTACTCTTCAGCTGAAGTACCAATTAAAACAGAAAAGTTAACAATTTTAAAGAAGTTTTGGATTTAATGTCTGCCATCTCTGGCAGCCAGAAGAGTGGAGAGAATGATAGGAGGGGTAGGAAGGAGAGACAGAGCTCACTTTTATCAGATCTCCCAAGGAAACACTTCAAACTAGATGTTTGAGACATCACAAATTTAATATGTCCAAAACAGAAGTCATTATCATTTCCCCCATAGCAACAATTATTCCAAATTTCCCAATTTCTGTACAAAGAACCATAAGTTTTCCAGTCTCCCAGGTTTATAATCTTGCTGTTATCCTTAATTCCTCACTTTCCCTCAAATATAATTTCCCACAAATATAATTAGTTGACAAATCTTCCTGTTTCTGCCTCAACATCTCTTATGTCTCATCCTTTGCTTAAACAGCTACCATCATCACTTCTCATCTGGATCATTGATCACTCTCCTTCAAGTCACTCCCCAGTTTAGTCCATTCTCCTGATTGCTGACAAAGTCATTAACGTTAAGTGCAGATCTCACTATGTCATTCCTTTATTCAATAAAGTCCTTATTGCCTTGAGGATAAAATATAAACTCCTCCACAATCTGGCCCCAACCTATCTTTCTCTTGGTTCCTCATACACACAACTCTGCATCCCCTTATCTCCTTCCCTTTGCATTGCCCATCCCCTATGCCTGAAATGCATTCTCTCTTCACTTCTACCTCACAGAATCCCTTTCTTCCTTTGGTATATATCAAATACCAACTTCCATATGAAGTCTTTCCTGATTCCCTTAACTGCGAATGCTCTTCCTCCCAAACTACTATGTAATTAACTACTTTGTATCTCTTTATATTAAACAAACATGATATAAAGTGAATAAATACCAAGCAATTATTCCAAAGTGTGTGTTACATAAACGTCACACACACTGTCTCCTCAGAAAATTGAAATGAACAACTAGTTTCTTGGAGATCTTTTGAAAATAGTAGAGAATGTGGGTGAATTCACATTTCTATCCAGCAGACTGAATCACTGAAGTCCAGTAGCCTCTTTAGGAGTCACTTTCCTAATGACCAGCTTCCAGACTTCTCTATTTTTCATCATTTTCTCCAAAATTCCATTCACCAACACCAGAGTTTCTGCAGCTGCTTAACCCAACTCTGTCCATGTCTCCTTACCTGAAAGTTCTCTTTGATCCGCTTTTCAGTGAAGCTCTTTGCCAAGACTACCACCCCTCGCTGAATCTGGTATCGGAGAGCGACCTGGGCTGGGGTTCGATTGTACTTCTTAGCAATGGCTGCCAGGACTGTATCTTCTAGGAGAACAGGAGTGCTTTGATCTACCCTGCAAGGGAAAACAAACATTTTGAAATCTGTGGTCGGTGCAGTGGGGAAGAGTTCAATGCCATGTAGATAGTAATCATCCTTTAGCTTTTTACATTTTTCAAAGCATTTCCATAGACATCTCATTTGAACCTCATAATAATATCATGAAGTGGGCAGGGCAAATGTTATTATCTTCTTTTTACATATAATGAAATGGGACTTACAAAGGTTAAATTATTTCTTCAAGACCATGCAACTAGTAAAATGCCAGAAGTCAAAAGGGAGTCAAATACAGTTAATTACAACCCCACAATCAATACTGTTTCCACTACTCAATGTTGCACAATTTGTAAGCACACAAAAATTTGGGTAGTCAACTTTATTAGTGATTAAGGAATCCATTAGAAACCCCCTTTCTCACCATTGAGTCTCTCTGTGGGATCCCAAGGCACTATATGCTACCAATATGATATCATTTGACTTGCAGAACTCCAACAATTTGCTCTGGTTCAGGTAAGGATGGCATTCCACCTGCAGTACAATAAATACTGAAGTTTTGGCTTATAAAAATAACATGCATGAGGCCAAAAAGGAGAATATTAAGCATTTTGATAATCAAAGGACTTGGGAATTACCTAGTTATACCCCAAAGCACAGAATGTTAGCATGTCTATTTAATGCCCTTTTCACATAGAGCCATTAGTGCTGAAGGGGGCAGAAAATGCAGTTGTGAGTTAAGGAGAAGACTTAAATCAGTTAATAAAGAATATAAGATTCAGATACTGCCATTGATGAATAGTTTGATGCCTGGAAGAAGTAGGAAAAGAACTTTGGTTTAATAAAAAACAGTTAAAATGTGTTTGAAGAAACATAGCTTTCAGGTATTGTTTGAGCAGTTTTGAATAGAAAATCAACTGTGTAATAAAAATAGACTCAAATGACCTTACAGATTATATAGAATGAAACCTTACATGTCTGTGAAAAGTTTTATGATTTAAAGGATCAAAGAAATAAGTTTTATTTATTCAAAACTGGGAAAATGTGAGCAGGATGAAACCATCTCAAGAACAAAAAATGAGATGTAGGAACATGATGAAGATAAGAATTGCAGTGAGCTGTAGTCCCTCCATTCATTTATCAGGAAGGGGAAGGATAGGAAAGAAACTGTACTAGAAAAAAAATTGTTTTACCTGGTTGCAGACTGGTTTATATTTAAGCCCAGGTTTATTCAGGATCATCTCCAATAGCCTGCGGTTGAAGTTGGACACTCCAATGGATTTCACGAGACCTGCATCCTTACATTTCTCCAAGGCCTGAGTAGAGAGGGATTGTGAATGCCTATGGAACCTTGGAGGACATGTTGAGTAGAACCCTTCCCCCATTCATCACCTAGCCTTGGTCTTTTCACTTCCTCTCCTCTGATTTGAAAAAAAGAACCTCAGGAGAGGACACCTCACAGAATTCAAACCTGGAAGCGGCTTTAGATACAATTTAGTCCAACCTTCTCATTTTTTTTCTTCCTTGGTCAAGAAACCAGCATCTAGAGAAGTTATTGCCAAACACCATACAGGTAACCAATAAGTAACCAAACCAAGATTTGAGTTCAGGTCTTCTGACTTATTTATTATGCTGGTTCAGAGGACAGCTCTTTATCAGCCATATTTTTGCTTTTAAAAGAAATATATTAACTGAACTTCATCCACATGACTACCTTTCCCATAAAAGTATGGATATCTGGAAGTTAAATGATTATTTCAGTAAATGACATTTAAAATCATAGGAGCCAAAGCCAAGATACTCAGAAATATCAAATTAGCCTTTTATTCTTTGAAAAGGGTGACAAAACAAAAATGGTAAGAACCATCAGAAAAACACCCCCCCCCCCAACTTCTAACTACTCTCCCCTGTCTTTAATTTTTGTTATTTTCTAGCACACCAGTTACTCTCTCCCCTGCCATTCTCATTCAATTTGTCATGGGTTCTTTCCCCTTGATCTGAATCTGACCAGATGTCTAAATTTCTTACAGTTTGAAAGAAATCCTGGGAGTGTGACTCTTCTCTTTATCCTCCTCATTCTATAACCCATTTCAGGGGACCCAAGATCCCACTGTCACCAACAGAGGCTGCTTCAGTAATACTTTAAAGTATATAATTCCCTGGATTTTCTGATTAGTCTGTCAATCCTCATTAATCCACACTTATATACTTTTTATATTAATATAGAATAATAGAGTAAACCATTAGGGTCAAGAGACTTCACTATGTTTTAGTCCAGTTGCCCTCATTCTTCAAATGATAGTTGAGATGACTCACTCAATATCCCCAAATCAGTGACAGAGCTAAAATGAGAAGTCTAGGTTTCTAGCCTTGCACATATTCCATTTAACAAGCTGCCTTGCACCTTTTCATTTGAGAAAATTCACTTCCAGCTACCTGAGGATCCCCCTCTCCAGTCACAATCACTATTAGGCAGGGCTACCTTTACCTCAACATCACAGCATTTTTTTGTTGTCTGCTTCCACAAGTTACCTACCTCCCAAGTATCACTCAAATCCACAGAGTCACCGATAACTTTCTGATTTTCATCCAATGGAAACTTATCTTTGTCAGGCTGTAATTAGAGAAAGGAGACTTTTCTTCTTGAGACACTCAAGCAAGTGAGTTATTCTATTCAACTCAACGAACATTTATCCAACACCTAATATCAAATCAAAAATATCAAATAAGGCACTAAGCCAGATGCCACAAATAAAACATGAAATGGCAATATAGTTCTTGCCTTGTAGGAGTTTACCTTCTACTAGTAGTAATCAAGTACATAAATAACTATAATACAAGTCCAGAGGATCAGAGATGTAGACCTGGAAAAAAAATCTTAGACATCATCTAATCAAACCCTTTCTTTTTATTATATATTTAAAACTTTACTGATAATTTGTGACAGAAAATGTTTCTCAACAAACATTGAATTAAGCCTCATGAAAAAACATTTTCTGAAACAATTAAGCAAAACTGCCTAATTTAATTACATGTTTCTGACTGATAGAATGTGTCACTTTTTAACTTAGTAGTTTACTGATATTTAAAAAGAAAAGATGTGTCCTTTGACTTGAATAGTTTAGAATTTTTTATACAATTGTAGTCATGCATATCTATTCACTCATTCACTCATAAAGCATTTATTAAGCACCTATCATGTGTACCAAAAGGAAACAATTCACTACAGGATAGTTTTAGTAATTCCTGTTTTATTACCCATTGCCCAGAATCAAACTGCTAAATCCTTGATTAACTTTTTATTTATTTTCCAGTTAATCAGCCTTCCATAGCTGTAGCTTGTTTGGCTTGAAGAAATTCTCCCTTCCCCTAACACATTCACTCCTCTTCCGTCTCTGACTCCCTTCTTGCCCCTCCTTAGTCCAATCAACTCCCCTGTTCATTTTATCCTTTTTTCTTATACTTCTCTTTCCTACCATGGATGATAGGATGGTTCATGTATCCCTTCAACCCCCAGCCCTCTCTTTCTATAGGGTATCTCCTTTAAATACCCATACTCACAGTTTCTCTTTTCTCCTCACTAACCAATAGACAAAGTGGGGTTCCCCTTTTAGTTTGTAAGCACTGGACCATCACCCAAACTCTTAAGGCTACTTGGACTTGTTGACATTTTACAAATTTAATATATCCCTTGCATTTTGGCGGGGGGAGGGGAGGCAATTGGGGTTAAGTGATTTGCCCAGAGTCACACATCTAGTAAGTATATGAGGTCACACATCTAGTAAGTATATTTGAACTCAGGTTCAAATTTGAATTCAGGTCCTGTTGGACTCCAGGGCCAGTGCTCAATCCACTGTGCCACCTAGCTGCTCCTGTCCCTTGCATTTCAAAGACTATTAAAGAAGACAGCTCAGCTCCCACATACCTACTCTAGCAGAACTAAACTTCATTTCACACTGAATAATGATCAAGAAATTAATGATAAACAACAATATGTGAAATCTTCTACTCCAGAACTGGACAAAAAGTCATCCAGCAGCCCAGAGTCAAGAAAAGTACACCCTTTCCCTCCCCCCAAGCAAAGTTTCCTAGAGACATGTGGCATCTGTAGTCTGCAATGCTCTCAGTCTAGGTTTAATAAGAATGGAGGACTCACCTGAGAAAGCCTTAGGGTGCAGGCCTTGAAAACTCTGGGGTGGAACAGCTAGAAGAAATACTGAGGTGCTACTGAGCTTAGGTCACAACAGCCAAGGTCAAAGCTAAGGGGATCTGAACATTCTGTTCTGAGATAGCCCTGAAAACCCAGCTCTCTGAACCTCAAAGAACATGGGAAGCCAGACTCTAGGAGATGGAAGTCAGTGCAAGAACCCAAGCCAAGACCAAGCAGAGCAAGCCATTTGACCCAAAAGTCCAGCAAGGGCCCTTGCCTGGCCCTGGAACAAAGCCCCATTTAAGAAACTGAATTCAGAGATGAGTAAATCAAACACCCAAAATAATAATTTAAAAAAGTATTGCAAATCCAACTAAAAAAATAGATTTATCAGTGTAACAGATTAAGTATACCACATACTGATGCAAATATATCTAATACCCTAATATGCAATGAAAAGAAGACCCCAGTTACTGGAATAGGTACTCACCATTTAACGAAAACTGCTGGGAAAATTGGATGATAGTATGGAAGAAATTAGATTTAGAACACTTCATACCTTGTGCAAAGATAAGTTCCAAATGTCTACATGGCCTATATATAACAGGCTACATCATAAATAAATTAGACAATATTGCTTTGTTTCTAACCTAGGTAGGTTTGCTTTACCTGAGGCAACCTGGGGCCTCACCAGATCTGTGCTGGCCTTGGTGGAAACAATAGATAGGCAGTGCTCAGAACTCTCTAATTCAAGCAATCCACCAGCCTTAGCCTCCCTAGGAGCAGGTGTGGAGAAAAAATAAGCAACACAAATATTATGTGATATCTTCATGAACCAAAAATGTAGAAATCCCCAAAACTCCTGGTGGTCTAACATTAGAAAGTCCATCAGCTCTATGCAATGAGAGTATGAGCATGACAATGGACTTACCCCACTATTGGGGTTTCTTCCTGTCCTTGGATAAGAGACACTGAAGTTTTTTCTAAAAGGACTATTTTCACAATAGTCAAAGAATAATTGTAAAACTTTGTTCTCTTCCCCTTATCCCCTGCTCTTAAACATTTTTTTTATTCTGATAGTAAATCCTACCACTTGCATTCCAAATACTCCTTTTTTCTCCTTTGACCAATACCCCAAGCCTTTTCTGTGAAATGCTTTTTTCTATCCTAAATTGTTATGCAATGCCACTGATTGGCTGTGTGCTCTAAGTAGGCTGAAGGTCATAAAACCAAATTTATACTCAATCAAAGGAATATGAATTTGCTATCAGCAAGAGCAGATTCCCTAGTACTCCAATAAATCTCTAAGTTTTTTCCTCCTATCTTTGACTCACAGTCACTAGACCCTGCTGACAGTTATACCTCTCCCAAGAAGTCAAGAGAATTCCGCAACACAGGGACTATAGGCATTCACCACCATGACCAGCCTTATCTCTTAAGGTTAAATCAGGATATCCTTAGGAAATGCTTACTTGTAGGCATCTACTTTAAATATTAGGACTCTGACACCCAATCCTATCATCAATGGCTTTTTTTTCCTGTCAAAACATTAATCTGCAGTCCTCTAGAGACAATGCCCAAATAAGGACAAAACATTTCTTCACTTCTTTCAGAAGTAGGGCTGAAAATGCCAAGGCAGAAAAGGGGGAAATGTCTTTGTGTAACTAGAGGGGGTTCTAGTACATACCTTAAAAGAGACGGGCCAATGGATAATATAAAGGTCAATGTAATCAAGCTGGAGGTTTTTCAGGGTCTCTTCCAGGGCAGGCCTGACCAATTCTGGGCGGTGGTGCGTGCTCCAAAGCTAAAGGGTGTGAAGGAACATTCAAAGTAACAGGGTGTTCTTTATCAAAGCAATTCCAAGAAAGACAGCAAATTGTGGCAATACCAAAACAGCAGACTGAGTTCTCAGAATGGCCAATTTACAGAAAAATTGTGAAGTAGTTGAAGTTCATCCTTGTCACTTAACCTCTCTGTGCCTGTTTCCTTGTTTGTAGGACAATAAATAAATTCTGTCTACCTCCAAGAGTTCTTATGAGGTTCAAGAGAGTTGTCACATGCTTTGTAAACTGCAAAAGGGACCTCTTTGGGAACTAGAGAAATTTACCCACTGGAGCAAGGGTAAATGAACTGCCTGTTGAAGGAGGTTGTGAGTGAATGTACACCCAAAATGGAGACATCTCGGAATCAGGGGTTTTAAAAGAAGTACTGTGCAAGCTTGGAGCTAGAATGCTAAGAGGAAGAAAGTCATGGATTGAGGTGCCTTCCCTGGGCCAAACCTACCTGACCAGTGAACAATGAGGTATCCTCTCAACTCATGTTAATGCTGGATTTTGAATATTAACAAAGCTGTGTTTTAGTAATCTATTGAGGTTTTCTGCCAGCTATGCAAGGAAGCGGTAGCCTCAGAATCAAATGTCAAAATCAAAAGAGATGATAGGGAAGTAAGCATTGAGATACAACACCTTCACTTTCACCTTATTGGCTGGGTAAGTGGTTAATTTTCCCTATACATTGTTTCCTAAGATTGAACACAAAGATGATTTAGTAGCACACAAGAGACAGAAAACAGGTTAGATTTGCTACTTTCTATGCCTTTAGTTTGGGAGGAGGTTTTAGGAAATGATAAGCAACATTGCTACTACTTTAATCTCTTACTATTTACTTTTCTTCCTATTTCAGTTTGGAAACCTGTAATATGATTTAATTAATTGTCCTAATGAAAACTCCTGTCCCCAACAAATTAATGTAATGACTAACATCTTCTGCAAGTTTTAGGGACGAAGTGCTAGAAATCAGCCACCTTTGGGGACCAAAGGAAAAGAATAAGACTGAGTTAGAATAAGTTGATAAAGTGCATTTTAATCCTTTTCTTATCTAACTCCAGTTAAATATGGATGGCATGACAAGACTATAAGAAAACCTTTAGACTTTTTAATTAATTTAATTAAATAAAACCCATGAGACTTTTTTTAATGACATAATAGTATGTTGCTGAATTTCTACCAAATTTGAGTGCACATTACTGCTGTTCAGAAGCAATTAAGCTCATGTAACCTTCCTTAAAAAAATGTTACAATCTACTTTGTTTTTGTCTTGTCTTTAAGGCATTGTTCTGTTTCCCCAATGATAAGGTTCTTTTAAAGACTGACCAATAATCAACTACATATCTATGATTTGTATCCTTTCCATTAAATCTGGAATTTAACATCCTGTTAGACAATTTATTTCTAATTTACAAAAAAAAAAAAAAATACAGGTTTATCAAACACTAAATTCCACAGTAAGAATATTATTTTCCTCCAAATTGACTCTACTTTTGATCCATTACTTAAAAAAAAAAAAGTCCACTAACTGATCGTCCCATACATTCTCACAATTTAGTCAAGGAACTTATATCCTGACTGAAAGTAGGAATAATTTAGACTATAGTCTTCAATATTAAATTTAAACTGCTAGCACAACTATGAAACTGTCCATTCAAAACAGTGAGTCCACTGAATACCCAAAAAAATGACATTTGGTATGTTATAATAAAAGGAATAATCTCACAGCTGCTCATTCAGAAAATATAGTCACTATACCTCCTTAATAGTTTTTCCCGAAGGTGCTTGTTTCTCTTATTGTCCCTGAAGAGATTTCTTAATTATTTATTTGGGGAAATTAAATGTTCAGCTATTTTACACTTGCTTATAGGAGTGTAAGCTCCTGAAGAGCAAAGACAATGTCTGTTCTTTAATGAATATCCCTGTGCAAGTGTGCATCTTGCTTATTAACCGAGTGGCCACTCTATTTTTGAAATTAAATGACTGGGAGTTAAATTACATTGTTTCTCATCAATACTAACTAGCCTTCCTCTTTTCCTTTATGCAGCATAATTCATTTTCGTTTTTTAGATTGCCTTGGTTGGGAGGATTCCCCTTTGTTCCACATAGGATATTGTTTATGTTTTGTCACATTTTTTTACTTTGAAAAAAAATCCCACAACACTCAATCCCTGATTTCCACCCAACGATACCTTCCCCGTGTAGAATATTTCCTCTCTGGTCACTGTCCCATCTGCAATCTTAGCTCGGATCGCCCGTCCAACTTCTTTTTCATTTTCGTATAGGAAAGCCCCATCAATATGGCGGAAGCCCACTTCAATAGCCACCTTTGTGGCCATCTCACTTTCACTTTTGGGAACCTAAGGATTCAAAGAGAAAGAGTTTCAACCTGGATAAAGACACCTTAGCCCAATGGACCCCCTTCCCTAAACATGACCCTTTAACTATTGCTTCTTCTTTCCTCTATTTTATCTCTCCAGCTCCACTTTCTCCCTTGCTTGTCTTTTTCTTGGTCAAGTACTGCTGAAGTCTTCCATTGAACAGCTGCATTTTGTAATTTCTTTTCTTTAGATCCTGATGCTTGTTTATTTTTCCATTTGGCCATTCTAAGAAGTATGGGGCTATTAGGTAATAAAGAGAATTAGACATTTTGCCAGATAGACATCTGCCCAGGGCAGTTGAATTCTTTGGCTTAGGCCAAGGGTGGGGAACATGTGGCTTCAAGGCCCCCTGAGGCCTTCTTGGTCTTTAAGTGGGTCCCGTGACTGAATCCAAACTTCACAGAACAAATCCCCTTAATAAAAGGATTTATTCTATAAAACTTGGACAATCAAAAGGAGACACCCAAGGATTTAGAAGGCCATATATGGCCTCCAGGTCCCAGGTTCCCCACCCCTGCCTTAGATTTCAGTCTTTAGACTTCAGTTTTAGGATCTGCTGCTATACATTACATGCCTTTCCTCCTCCCACAGCCCAATACAATGTTTTGTTTTAAGTATATTGAGTTTCAGGCTACTGCAAGACTGCAGAGTACTATGCCAGAAAACTGAGCAATACTAATTCACATTGCAAAGCCAGTAATACCTAAAGGAGGAGAATAGTTTTCAACGATAAAAAGTTTGGGAGAAGACTTTTTGTGCATTAGAGAAAAAAATGAAAAAAAAAAATAAACTTAAGAGAATCACTGACAATCATAGATTAAAAAAAAAAAGAAAATTAACTTGACTTCTGCTATCCATGACTACACATTTAAATTAAAATTCTGGAATCACCTAAAGGAACAAGACAGAGTTTAGAATTACCATTAGGGAATCTATACCTATAACCTCAGCTATCGTATTGATAAGGATAACAGGGCAAACAATACGAGTTTAAAAGTGTTGGTAGTGAGATTTTGCCAACAACCACTTTAGGTACAAATATGGAAAAACCTATTAATCATAAAAGAATTAGACCCATCCAACCAATAAATAGTCTAAATAATGATGTTGCAGTATAACTGGCTACTTACTCAGCTCAATGTAACTTATTTTTGAATTATATATAATAACGATTCATACTTTATTACGTATATGTAGTGTTGCATGTACGTTATCCACACACACATATACACACACACACACACACACACATATATATATTGTTACTAGAATTTGCCTTATTAGAAGCAGCTTGTTAAGTGGTGCTTTGAATTGTGATATGCATATTATATGTATACTCTATGTATATATAGTGATGAGTTGCACTATAAAGAAAGCTGAGTGCCACAGAATTGATGCTTTCAAGTTGTGGCTCTGGAGAAGACTTTTGAGAGTCCCTTTGACAACAAGGAGATCAAATCAGTCATTGCTAATTAATTCAGGCTAATCACTGGAAGGTCAAATACTGAAGCCGGACATGAACTTGGACAGACTTTGAGAGATAGTGGAGGACAGAAGGGTCTGGTGTGCTGTGGTCCATGGAGTCACAAAGAACCATGCACAACTGAACAACAAACATTGTAAGTAACATTAGGGTGAATTTTATATATCCCAAAATGATTTTCAGGAAATAAAATTATGGGTTGCAGGGAATATAGCACCAGGTTCAGCAGCTTTACCCACAGACTACAGGTACTATTACTATATTTTTAACGGAGAATAGAAAAAAGGAAAAACAAGATTGTGGCAGAAAAGGACATTACCCTCTCTCCTTTTGTTCTCTTTTTTATTAATTTATTTTGATTTATCAACAATCATTTCCATAAGCTTTTGAGTTTTAAATTTTTTCCATCTCCCTCTCCCCCTCCCTCCCCAAGACGGCATGCGATCTGATATGGGTTATACATATAGATTCCTATTAAACATATTTTCACATTAGTGATGTAAGGGAGAATTAGCACCAATAGGAGGAATCATCAGAAAGAGAAAACAAAACAAAACAGAAGACAAAAATAGCAAATAGCATGCTTCGATCTCCATTCAAACTCCATAGTTCTTTCTTTGGATATGGATAGCATTTTCCATCATGACACCTTTGGAGATGTCTTTGATCCTTGCATTCTTCTTCTCCTTCTTAAGGAAAAGTCTTCAACTAGGTTTCTCCCTCCAGAGGAGCGCATTCATGGAATAATTAAGAATTAAAGAAAAGGCTTCTCTTTCTTCCGTCCAGTCAAAGGAAAAACTATTAACTAAGACTGGCCACAAGAGAGGAGAACTTTGGAGAACACAGTGAAGAAAAAGGCCTAAAGAAACACAATGGAGCTTGTAAAAGAAAGGTACTCAACTTGATCTGATCCCCCAGAGTAGAGGAGACCTAGAATTTAACCCCTAAGGCCTCAGCAACAAAAATGAATTAAACAAAAATTAAAATAAAAAAAACTTTTATGAATGCAGAGATGACAAAGGCACAAACCAGAAGAGAATGCAAAAACTTGCATAATCAAAACCACAAAGAAGAAAAAAGCTTGCCCAAAAGGAAACTTCTAATTTTTTTTTTAAATTATGAGTTTAAAAAAAAGTATAAAAGAAATCAGAATTACTGAGACAAGAACTGGGGAAAGGAGCAATAGCTTAACAGAAGAGGTACAAAACTTCACTAACAAACTCTCTAAAAATCAGAATGGACCAAACTCTCCAAAAATCAGAAATGAATGATTCTAGGAGCCAACACAATTCTTAAAACAGAGTCAAAAGAAATGTGAAAATGAGAAAATAAAGTGAATGGGAATGGGATGAATTCATCCATAAAAGAGTTAAAATAAGGGATTGGGACAAAATCTGTCATGACTCAGTTGGACACAAAATAGCCGGAATAACAATTATGCTATTATTCAATGGCAATAGCCAAAATAGATTTAATTTTAAAAGAGATGAAGAGAAAATTACATTTTACTGAAAGGCAACACAATGAATTGATTTCATACTTAATATACATGTAATCAATAACATAACATTAAAAACAAAGAAAAAACTAAATGAATTACAAAGAGAAACAAACCATAAAACTATAATAATGAGGGACTTCAATTTACCCCATGAGCCCTAGATAAAATAACAAAAAATAAATGAAAAATTAAAACATGAATAAATCTTACATAAATTAGATATGATAGACCTCTAATGATTATTGAAAGGAAATAGAAGTTAGCATTCATATTTCTCAGCTGTGTATGACTCCTTTGGAAAAATTGATCTTGACATCATAATAATAAGTTATATTATAAAGGACCACTGAAAAAAGTATTAAAAATAAACCATACCACAAAGCTCAATTTAAATATCATTTTGTCCAGAAAGCCTTCCCTTATCCCATCTCTCCCTCTCCCCACTTGATTATTATCTCTATTTCAAACTTCTCAAAATTCTTTGGGGTATAACTCTCTAATGTAATTATCATATAACATATATTTATAGTTTTCGGCATTTGTGTCTTATTTCTCTTTTAGGTTGTGAGTTTCATGAAATTAGGGGCAGTGTCTTATCTAACAGACCAGAAAGTATTAACGTTATTCTGTCTTGTTCTCCCTAGCCTGAAGGTCCCCAAATACCATGTTCTGTTTTCTTGTTAGTGCAGCCCTACTTGGGCTTGTACCCTTCCCCAGCTACTCAATCAGTAAGTCCAGACCTTCACCCTATGTAACCTCAACCAACCATAAAATTTGGCGCAGATAACTGCACGCTACAACAACAACTCCTTCTTCTTCTTCCGCTCCCTCTCTCCTCCCCAAAGTCCCCGTTTCATCTCAGAACTAAAGGGGAGGAGGCAGACAAAGCACGTCTGACAGTGAGACAGGACACCTAGGGAGAGAATGGGTTCAGAGCTGTCGCTGTTGATCTCTCCTCAGCTGGGTTATTTCCCCACAAACTCCAAACTACTTCAAGAGCCCTGCCATCCTGAATGAAGGAAGAAATAAACTGCCTGCTTTCTGGAGACCACTATGTGGAAGCAGACAGAGGGATGGGGCTGGAAAAAACCTGTTTCTCTCGGCTGGCTCCCATCTGTGCTCAGATGTTAAGCAAAATGCACCCCCCCCCCCCACTGTTACCTTTCTGTCTCTTTCCCCTTTACTAGCTGCAATATTCACAGGGCAACGTGAATACTTCCCCAAAACAGCTTTGCTTGCTGCGCATTCTTTTTCCCTAATGCTCAAACTCCTTCAATATCCAGATGCCCTCATGCTGGCCCTACCTTTCCTGCATCCTGTATCTGTATTTGAAATAAAGCTGTTCCTTCTCCTCACTCCCCAGGAAGTCAAAGGAATCCACCTACCCAGCTTGCAACATCCATGTCCCTCTGATGTGCACAGGTTCAATAAGTAATCTGTCCATAGCATACAACCGTTACTCTTATAAGGCCCTGTGTGTGGTACAGATTTACTTCAAAGATGGTGCACGTTCGTAGTAATTTTGTGACTGAAAGTGTAATTATGAAATGACTTGTGCTCCTGCTTTCAGAGCTGAAAGAGCTCCTTGCCTTGCCCTGGGCAAGGTCCTTCTCTCCAGTGTGGTTCCCATTTCATCCTCAAGTCGCAATCAAAGGAATACCGGGCAACTTTAAGAACCAAGTCAACTACGTGTGAAAAATCATAGTAAAAATATATATAATTAAATTTAAATTAAATTATGTTACATAATAATTATAGTTTATAAGATTTGTATAATTTATAAACATAATTAAAATAATTAAAAATGATATTAAATCTGGCAAATATTCTGCAATAGAATTTTTTTTGGAACATGACTAAGCAGAAGTAAGGCAGGGGGCAGGACCTCTGTTTTTCTCTTAGCACTCAGGCTCCCGGATCGAGCATGCATGATACACAGCCCTCCATTCTCTCTGCTCCTTCATTTAGTTAGCATCTGTCAAGGTCTCGAAGATGGGAAAGGCAGATACAGCAGACACAGATGCTCATCTCCTCTCCTTATACACTCTCAAGAGCTTTTGCAGACTCTGGGCTTAGTGAAAAACCTTCCTCCCTCCCATCTGAGGGCTGATCTCACCTTAGCTTTCTTTTCCCAACCTGGGAAGAACTACAACTCCAGAGTCTCTGTGGCCCGCCAGTGGTGGTTAAATTCGAGATGTGATACATTTACCACAGTGTCAGGTTTATACAGAAATTCACTATCCCGCATTTCACACGTAGTTGTGTATTTCTACGAGCCCCGCGCCATACTGAGGGGAATTAGGATAATACACTTCATCTACCCTCCCTATATCGTATTCACCCTCACCCACAAACCCCACTCCTCTCCATACTCACACTTTTAGGTGCATAAGTGCCAAATCCCAGCACTGGGATGGTATTCCCATCATTCATTGTCACCCTAGGAGATTTGGAAAGAGCCATTTCTTTTCACCTCACGGGTCAGGTCAGTTCTGTGCAAAGTCAGAAAACCCCCTCGCTGTGGCAAAGACTAATTGACTGAAGCCCTGGCTATTTATATTTATACTCTATTGCCCTATGAAGCTCAGAGGGAGTGGCATGGTTTTCAAGTTGCACGGGGGCGGGAGAGGAAGAGACAACAACAAGCCACGAATCACCTCTGTACAGCTTCCCGAAAAGCGTAGCAGCACTGAAGTGTTAAAGTAAGTAAACAGAGTCTCTGTTTGACTTAAATTTGATTGCTATCGCCTTTTCCCGCAGTTCTTCCTAAAGAATGGTGCAGTCTGAGTGGAAGGACTGGGGAAGGAAGGGGAGGGTTAGAGGAGAGAAGAAGGGGGCGGGGAGGAAGAGATCACAAAGAGGGAGGAGAGTGATGAGAAGCGAGGAGAGGAGAGCTAAGAAGGTGAACCGATTTGGCCAGTCTTTTTGACCCTTTCGCCAGGAAGGCAATACACACTGAGTTTGAAAGGAAGCAATCCGCTGCCCAGGAAAGATTGGGTTCTCCAGGCATGTGTATTGATAGCTTCATCTGCCTTGCTTGCCAGAATCTCCTTGTGATTAGATACTGGGTTAAAGGAATTAATTTTTTCCATTATTTGTGCTTTTAAATAGATTTTATCTATTATTCTAGTCATAGTAATATTATCACTGAAAATGTTTATTTTTTTCTTTACCTTTGATGGTTTTGAGTTTTGAGCTGAATTCAGCTCAGCATTTCTCAATATTTTTGGAAGATTTTCTTTACTTCTTTTTATAATATTTGGTGTATCTTTTTAAAATACTTTCACTGGTTCTACAGCTTGATTTTTTTTTTAAATCTAGTTTCTAATTTGTTTCCTTTTACATTGATTTAATTTCTGATGAGCATTTTCCTCTTTCAGGTTGATTTACAAGATTCACATCACAAATGGTATTTAAAACAAAGTCTGCTGTTCAACTGCTACTAAAATGCCACAAATAATGTTATGCTGAGATTATTCATATTATGCATGGGAATATGCATATTCCAATGATATTGGTTTGGGTGCTATATTGTTGTTGTTGAGTGATTTCATTCATGTCCAACTCTCTGTGACCCCATTTGGGGCTTTCTTGTCAAAGATACTGAAGTGGTTGACTGGCAGAACCCCAAGCCAGAGCCCCAAGCCATGTCCTGGCTTGCCAGGAGATAGGACCTTGATGGAGTTGCCAGAGAGTTGAGATAGGGGTGAAATGGCAGTGAAATGGCTCTATCCACTGGGGCACCTAGCTGTCCCTTGGGTGATATGTTTAATTATATAATCAGTTGTAGGCATATTCATTGTATGTTTCATTACTTCACTGTATTAGAGCATAATCTTTTTCAAGTCGAAGAATTTACCATCAGTTCGGTAGCTGATCTTGTTGCCATATTCATCCTCATTGAAAGGATTTAGCAACTTGGCTGAAAACCGCAGTGGGAGAGCTTATTCAGAGTCGGTAAGAATACCAAAGGCAGAGTCCTGCCAAGCAGGGCTTCATTGTCGTAAAAGCAAACGGAATCAAGCAGCTCAGGATACTGGTTGGTTGGGTGGAAGGAGAATGGGGACTTGCTGATAGCAGAGCTGAAAAGGGTGTAACGTATGGAAATTTCCTATGGCATAGTCTTTGTCCTATGCAAGCAAAAAAAGACTTGTACCTGCACTGTACTAGGTCTTCCGGGTGGCTATCTTGAAATAGCCATACTTTCACTCTTGAGAGTTCCTTCATTACCATATTCATAAGATGTAAATGGGGACTTTGATATCACATAAGTTACTATTGGGCATTGAGGAGTCTTATTGGGCTTTCACAGTCTTGGGAAAGTCTCTTGGTCACAAGGTCACTGGTGATAGGGTGGGCTATGGAGTGGTGAAGTTGCCTATTCAGCATATGGGGGAAGTAGTTGTCTGCTCAGCATATGGGGAAGTAATTGTCTCCTCAGCGTATAGGGCTAAGAATATAGGGGAAAGGGTTGCCTAATTAGGATATAAAGAAAGGATGGGTCCTTACTGCTCTGGGCGAAAAATAGGACTTTGCTGTTCCTACTCCAAAAACATCATGCTAAAAAGCATGGGAGCAAGCACAAAGCCTTGTTTCACTCCATTGGTGACTGGAAAAGCACAAGAGCATTGTCCATTATCTAGAACCCAGGCAAGCATGCTGTCATGAAACTGATGTACAATGCTGATGAACTTCTCCAGGCAACCAGATTTGGACATAATTTTCCATAAGCCCCCATGACTGGCAGTATCAAAGGCCTTGGTCAGATCTACAAATGAAGTGGAGGGAGTTTTGGTCCATGATTTTCTGTTTGCAGATGATTGTGCACTCAATGCAGTCTCTGAAGCTGAGATGCAAGAAAGTACAGATCAATTCTCTGCTGCTTGTGCTCATTTTGACCTAACAATTAACACCAAGAAAACAAAGGTGCTCCATCAGCCACCACCACACCACCCATACATGGAACCATCGGTTACAGCAAATGGAGAAGTTTTGAATGCTGTGGATAAGTTCACTTACCTTGGTAGTGTACTTTCCAGGGATATACACATTGATAATGAGGGGTTTGGGAGGCTCTGAGGGAAAATAGGGAAGAGAAGAGGTATTAAACTGGCTACCAAACTGTTGAGAACAGGTCCACAGGTTTTACCAGACTGCCAAAGGGCTCCATGACACCAAAAAAGGTTAAGAACCCCTGCTCCAGAGGAAATTCATTGTTATTTTTTTCTAGCTCTCCAAAATAATACTTGGATTGTTTGATTGGTATAGCATTGAATAAGTAAATTACTTTAAATAGTATTATCAGTTTTATATTTCTCCAATTGTTTAGGTCTACTTTATTTTCATAAAGATTGTTTTGTAGTTGTATTCATATAGTTTTGTATATCTTGGTAGGTGAACTCCCAAGTATTTTATACTTTCTACAAAATTATTTTAAATGGAAGTATTTTATGCAAATTAAAACAACTCTGAGGTACCACCTCACATCTACCAGATTGGCTAATGTGACAAAAAAGGAAAATGATAAATGTTGGAGAAGATGTGAAAAAATTGGAACCTTAATACATAGTTGTTGGAGTTGTGAACTGATCCAACCATTGTGAAGAGCAGTTTGGCGCTATGCCCAAAGGACTATAAAACTGTGCATACTCTTTGATCCAGCAATGCCACTACTAGATCTATATCCCAAAGACATCCCAAGAAAGGGGAAAGGACCTACATGTGCAAAAATATTTATAGCAGCAATTTTTGTGGTGGCCAAGAATTGGAAATTGAGGGGATGCCCATCAACTGGGGAATG